GCAAGGTCCGTCCCTACAGAGGATAGGCTGGTTTCACTTGTAAAGAATCTTTTCTATGATCAGACTCGATCATATCCTGCATGAACAGGCTCCGTAACATCCAGTAAAAAAAGTGATGTGGGATAATCTGAATTATATTTTCTCTATTTCACTGAACTTAATAGTATGGAAATGCATTCATTTCCTATGCATTGACTCGATTTATGATACTATCGGAGTAAACCAAGTGGATCTAAAGAAGAACAGGGGTTAGATTATATTAGTAACAAGTAAATCCTTTGTACGTAAAAAGTTCCAAGATTTTTTTTTTGGGGGGGGGGTAAGAATTGCAAGGTTTGAGATCACCCAAAAAGCACTATTCACTTTGAAAGCCTACTTGGGTATTGAGCGTTTACTTAAGTTTACTTAATAATAAAAGAACTTAATTTTTTTTTTTTGCAGATAAGATAATTGTAACTTCGGAGAAGAAAATAAGGTTTATTTTCTTACATGGAATCTTTCTATATGTGTGGATAACATATGCATTTTTTCTATGGATACATTCGAAATGTTTGATTCGTGCTCGAGCCGGATGATGAAAAATTATCATGTCCGGTTCTTTCGGAGGATGGATCTATAAGAATTCACCTATCCTAATAACAAAAAAACCTGACTTGAATGATCCTGTATTAAGAGCTAAATTGGCTAAAGGAATGGGTCATAATTATTATGGAGAACCTGCATGGCCCAATGATCTTTTATATATTTTTCCAGTAGTAATTCTGGGTACTATTGCCTGTAACGTAGGATTAGCGGTTCTAGAACCATCAATGATTGGAGAACCCGCGGATCCATTTGCAACTCCTTTGGAAATACTACCCGAATGGTATTTCTTTCCCGTATTTCAAATACTTCGTACAGTGCCCAATAAGTTATTAGGCGTTCTTTTAATGGTTTCGGTACCTATGGGATTATTAACAGTACCCTTTTTGGAAAATGTTAATAAATTCCAAAACCCATTTCGCCGTCCAGTAGCAACAACCATCTTTTTAATTGGTACCATAGTAGCCCTTTGGTTGGGTATTGGAGCAACATTACCTATTGAGAAATCTCTAATTTTAGGTCTTTTTTAAACTTTTTAATTAAATGGATTCAATTGTGAAATAAAATATCATGCCATGTATATTGTGTATCTAGGGAGAATTCATTTTGAAACGACTAATCCCTAGATACATCTTTTGGCCTATTCCGAGTATATGGATTTATTCTAAGGATTCAAATTACACATTTTCACCTTTATTTTTATAAATAATAAAAATATGAAAAAAAAAAACCAATGCCAATGGATTTCAAATTTATGCGAAATGCTTTTCTATTTCTAAAATGTCTAATATATGTTTTACATCTTCTACACGAAAATGTTCCATTTCCATAAGGTCTTCTTGACTATTATTCAAAAGTTCTAATAATGTATGAATATTGGATCTTTTGAGACAATTATAGATCTTGGGAGGCAATTCTAATTGGTCAATAAAAATGGATTTCAATGCTATTCCTTTTTTATTTTTCCTCAGTTTATCCTTAGCCAATATATCATGAAAAGTAAAAAGGGGTAAAGTAACCTTGTGTTGATTTTTTTCTAAATGAAAGGGATCTTCTTCTGCATGTAAAAAGGGAATAAATAAATCAATCAAATTCCGAGAGGCTTCATAAAGCGCCTCTTTAGGAGTTAAACTCCCATTTGTCCATATTTCGAGAAAGAGTATCTCTTGTTTTTTTTTCCCATTCCCATAGGAATGAATACTATGATTTACATTTCGAACAGGCATGAATACAGCATCTATGGGAAAACTTCCGTCTTGAAAGTTTTTTAGTGTTTTTATACGATATCCGCGATTCCTCTCAATTTTTAATCCAATACACAAATTAATAGGTTCTGTTAGGTTGGCTATATGTTGTGTATTATCAATGATTTCCACAGAAGGTGGTAAAATGATGTCTTGAGCAGTTATATATCCAGGACCTTTGAAACAAATAGATGCGTCTTGAGTTCCATACAGATTACTTCTCAATACAATTTCTTTCAAATTCATTAAAATTTCATGTACTGATTCTTGAATACCTACTATGGTAGAATATTCATGTGGTATTTTCTCCGATTTTGCACGTGTAATACATGTTCCCTCTATTTCTCCTAGCAAAACTCTTCGCACTGCAATGCCTATTGTATCGGCTTGGCCTTTCATAAGTGGAGACAGAATAAAGCGTCCATAATAAAGACGTTTACTGTCTACTCTTGATTCAACACACTTCCACTGTAGTGTCCGAGTTGATACTCTTATTTTCTCTCGAACCATAGTAATATATATATATTTGATCAAACCCTTGAATTGTTTATTTCTCTTGAAATCTTTTCCATGTTTATTTTTAATTTTACACACGTCTTTTTTTCGGAGACCTACATCCATTATGTGGCATAGGGGTTACATCCCGTATAAAATTTAATAGTATACCACTTCTACGAATAGCTCTTAATGCCGCATCTCTTCCGAGACCGGGGCCTTTTATCATGACTTCTGCTCGTTGCATGCCTTGATCCGCTACTGTTCGAATAGCATTTCCTGCTGCGGTTTGAGCGGCAAATGGTGTACCCCTTCGTGTACCCTTGAATCCACAAGTACCGGCGGAGGACCAAGAAATAACCCGACCACGTACATCTGTAACAGTCACAATAGTATTGTTAAAACTAGCTTGAACATGAATAACTCCCTTTGGTATTTTATGAGCATGCTTACGCGAACCAATACGTCCATTTTTACGCGAACCCATTTTTGGTATAGGTTTTGCCATATTTGATTATTTCATAAAAATAAGTCCGAGATATATGGATATATCCATTTCATTCAAAAACGGATCCTTTACTTTTTTCTAACTAGTTTCTAACTAGAATTCATATTCGATTTATATATATCAATTGTATTTTTATATTAATCGACATCGAATATGAATTTTTGAAATAAAATTTCAAATTGGAAATACCAATAATAAAAAATTTCTTCTAATATTTTATAAAATATATATTCTAATATTTTTATATTCTATTTTTATAGAAAATCCTCTTTTGTGGAAATATTATCCTTGTCTTTGTTTATGTTTTGGATTGGAACAAATTACTAGAATTCGCCCTCGCCTGCGAATTAATCGACATTTTTCACAAATTTTACGGACGGAGGCCCCTATTTTCATATTTGTAATTCCTTAATAAGTTAATACCAAATCTATTTATTGGAAGAAAATAAGGTTTCCTTACATTTTGAACTTGTACCCCCCCCCAAAAAAAAGATTGTTGAAATTAAAAAACAGTCTAATTAAATTGAATTTTTTATGCTTCTTTTTTTTTTTCTACGGGCGTATACATATAAACATATAAAAAGTACGTCGAATCTTTTGAAAAACATAGCTTATAATTCAATTTTGATTATATAAAGGAATCTGAAACATACCCCTGGGAATTTATTCATTCAGGAATTAAATCCTCTTGAATCCTTTTTATTTTTTCTTTTTTTTTTTCCAATTCCAGTTTCAGTTAAACCCCCTTCGCACATTCACTAGTATATGAGGGTGGGTGATATTCTAAATCTGTGTTTTCTCTCTCTCTTTTTGACAAAAATGGATAGAAATTTCTCATCTAATTCGTATTTCAGAAAGATTACCATATATAACATAAAATTTCTCCGCCTATTTTTTCTAATCGAGCCTCTCGATCTGTCATTATACCCCTAGAAGTTGAAAGAATTACAATCCCCATGCCTCCTAAAATTTTAGGGATTCGTTGATAATTAGAATATATTCGCAGACCAGGTGTACTGATCCGTTTTAAATTTAAAAAACTTTTATATGATCCTTTCTTATTTATTCTATACCGTAGAGTTAAAACTAAATAATATTTGTCGCTTTCCCTATGTTTTCTGACGTTTTCAACAAAACCTCTCGTAAAAGTATTTCACAGTGTTTCGGTGATGTAGTAAATGGTATTGAACATTTTTTTTATTCATATAAGCATTTGTATATAGGTTATATAGAGGTGTCTTACATGATAAAAAATGATTGTGTATTTTCAATATAATAAAGCTCGTTTCATTTTTTAATTTCATGTAGAATAAATATATTAATACATAATTAATAGGAAATAGATAATATTTTTTTCTATATGAGGAATAATACAAAAGGGATATTGTATAAAATATAAATTATCATTCAATAAAACAAATATTCCATAAAGACGAATTTTTTATAATTTTTTTTTATTTTTTTCTGTAATAATCTTATTTTACTGTTCGAAATTAATCATATAATTTGTTTATTGAGAATGGGAAAAAAAAAACAAGAAAAGATATCATCTCGAAATATAAAAAAATGGAGAACTCCTAAAGTAGGCGCTTTATGAAGCCTCTCGGAATTTGATTGATTTATTTATTCCCTTTTTACATGCAGAAGAAGATCCCTTTCATTTAGAAAAAAATCAACACAAGGTTACTTTACCCCTTTTTACTTTTCATGATATATTGGCTAAGGATAAACTGAGGAAAAATAAAAAAGGAATAGCATTGAAATCCATTTTTATTGACCAATTAGAATTGCCTCCCAAGATCTATAATTGTCTCAAAAGATCCAATATTCATACATTATTAGAACTTTTGAATAATAGTCAAGAAGACCTTATGGAAATGGAACATTTTCGTGTAGAAGATGTAAAACATATATTAGACATTTTAGAAATAGAAAAGCATTTCGCATAAATTTGAAATCCATTGGCATTGGTTTTTTTTTTTCATATTTTTATTATTTATAAAAATAAAGGTGAAAATGTGTAATTTGAATCCTTAGAATAAATCCATATACTCGGAATAGGCCAAAAGATGTATCTAGGGATTAGTCGTTTCAAAATGAATTCTCCCTAGATACACAATATACATGGCATGATATTTTATTTCACAATTGAATCCATTTAATTAAAAAGTTTAAAAAAGACCTAAAATTAGAGATTTCTCAATAGGTAATGTTGCTCCAATACCCAACCAAAGGGCTACTATGGTACCAATTAAAAAGATGGTTGTTGCTACTGGACGGCGAAATGGGTTTTGGAATTTATTAACATTTTCCAAAAAGGGTACTGTTAATAATCCCATAGGTACCGAAACCATTAAAAGAACGCCTAATAACTTATTGGGCACTGTACGAAGTATTTGAAATACGGGAAAGAAATACCATTCGGGTAGTATTTCCAAAGGAGTTGCAAATGGATCCGCGGGTTCTCCAATCATTGATGGTTCTAGAACCGCTAATCCTACGTTACAGGCAATAGTACCCAGAATTACTACTGGAAAAATATATAAAAGATCATTGGGCCATGCAGGTTCTCCATAATAATTATGACCCATTCCTTTAGCCAATTTAGCTCTTAATACAGGATCATTCAAGTCAGGTTTTTTTTGTTATTAGGATAGGTGAATTCTTATAGATCCATCCTCCGAAAGAACCGGACATGATAATTTTTCATCATCCGGCTCGAGCACGAATCAAACATTTCGAATGTATCCATAGAAAAAATGCATATGTTATCCACACATATAGAAAGATTCCATGTAAGAAAATAAACCTTATTTTCTTCTCCGAAGTTACAATTATCTTATCTGCAAAAAAAAAAAATTAAGTTCTTTTATTATTAAGTAAACTTAAGTAAACGCTCAATACCCAAGTAGGCTTTCAAAGTGAATAGTGCTTTTTGGGTGATCTCAAACCTTGCAATTCTTACCCCCCCCCCAAAAAAAAAATCTTGGAACTTTTTACGTACAAAGGATTTACTTGTTACTAATATAATCTAACCCCTGTTCTTCTTTAGATCCACTTGGTTTACTCCGATAGTATCATAAATCGAGTCAATGCATAGGAAATGAATGCATTTCCATACTATTAAGTTCAGTGAAATAGAGAAAATATAATTCAGATTATCCCACATCACTTTTTTTACTGGATGTTACGGAGCCTGTTCATGCAGGATATGATCGAGTCTGATCATAGAAAAGATTCTTTACAAGTGAAACCAGCCTATCCTCTGTAGGGACGGACCTTGCGTGGTAGTTGGAATAAAGACACATTGAATTGTAAATTCAAATGTGGCAGATAAGAGAAAATCATATATCTGCGTGGCCCAATCAATAGTTCAAGTCACACACTCCCATAATCCATTTCTTCTTCGTAGAATTCCCTTCAACTATTCGTGTATGTAAAAAATAATAATAATCCAATTTTGTTAAATTGAAGGAAAATATCCAAATACATGTCTTATTCTTTTAAATAATCCATATTTGTAGCAATGAAATATATTCCTCCCCCAAATAAGAAATGATTAATTACAAATATCTATGATTCATATTTACTATAAAGGACCAGAAATGCCTTGCTTACGTATCATTGGAAAGTGCATTAACATAAATACGGCAGTAAGAAGAGGTAATACAAAAGTATGCAAACTATAAAAACGAGTCAAGGTGGATTGTCCCACACTAGAACTTCCGCGTAATAACTCTACCAAAGAGGATCCTATTACAGGAATAGCTTCGGGCACGCCTGTTACAATTTTGACTGCCCAATAACCAATTTGATCCCAAGGTAAGGAATAACCAGTTACACCAAAAGATGCGGTCAATACAGCCAAAACTACACCGGTAACCCAAGTTAATTCGCGAGGTTTTTTAAAGCCACCTGTGAGATACACGCGAAATACGTGCAGAATCATCATTAAGACCATCATACTTGCCGACCATCGATGAACTGATCGGATTAACCAACCAAAGTTAGCCTCCGTCATTATATATTGAACAGAAGCAAAAGCTTCAGTAACAGTCGGACGATAATAAAAAGTCATAGCAAATCCCGTCGCTACTTGGACTAAAAAACAAGTAAGTGTAATTCCTCCTAAACAATAAAATATGTTTACATGGGGAGGAACGTATTTACTGGTTATATCATCGACAATCGCCTGAATCTCAAGACGTTCTTCGAACCAATCATAGACTTTATTGAGATAGGTAAACTAAGGTACCCCCCCCGAGAACCGTATATGAGAATTTCATCTCGTACGGCTCAAACAAAAATACCCAAATACTGGTTGTAATGAAAACAGATATGTGTAATAGAAAGCTTGAAACTTCTTAACGGAATCCTATGATTCCAATCTTTTCGGAAGATAAGAAAAAATAGAAATCCGAAAACTATTCTTTGTGGTTATAATGCCAAAATATCAAGTCGGCTCACTCGTCTTTATTTACAGTAGGCCTCTTGAATATTCTATTATTTACTTCCATTTTTTATTTGTGTGTAATGTTCTTTTTTTTACTGCTGTTTTCTTAATTATTATTATTGATAGGAATTCTCTTGTTAGGACCATATGAATCAATTAAAAAAAACATCAGATTCGTATCATGACCACGATGATTCAAAAAAAACCTTTAATCGAAGTCCAAAAATTCCCTGAGTAAGAACTGCTGGATCATCACTTATTCAATGAATAGATAGAACAAAGAAACATTTGTCCGTTGATCAAAATAAAGATAATCGACGGAAGTTTTAAATAATTTTCATTTTTCAATTTATTCTTTCAACTCTTTGAAAAGTTTTTTTAAATCCAGTTACGAGGTCTAAATATTTAGTATGAATCATAGTTCTAATATTTTAAGAATATTTTTGATTTTCTATATTCCGTACTCCAGATACTAGAATAAATATCTGACGGGGTAAAATCATCTCTATCAAGATGACAGATCCATTTTTTTTATGTTCTGTACTATCAATAAGATCCATTATAACAAGTCACACACTCATATTCCGGAAATACAGAAACAAAGAAGTTTCACGATCAAACTACCAAATCAAAATGAAATAGGCTAACGATAAAAAACCTAAATGCTTAACCTTAGTTTTCTATTGAAAAGCTAGTTACTTGATTCTTGTGAATCTAATTCATAGAAATTCCGTCCAGTAAAATGGACGAATTATAAATCTCCAAAATAATAGATAGAAATATCGCAAATAGAGCCATTGCAACACCCATCAAAGGAGTAGTTCCCCACCCCGGAGCTACTTTACCATATTCTGAATTTAATGGTTTTAATAAATCCCCTACAATAGTTCGTCTTGGACTAGACTTAGAATTACCCTCAACAGTTTGTGTAGCCATAAATCCTATTTTATATTGATTGAGATCTGTTGACTTTGTATACCATTCCGCTGTAAATATAGGATCTATATCCTATAGATCCATTGTGGTCTTGAAATTTTGGAATTCTAAGAATTTTTAGAATTATAATGGAAACAGCAACCCTAGTTGCCATCTCTATATCTGGTTTACTTGTAAGTTTTACTGGGTATGCCTTATATACTGCTTTTGGGCAACCCTCTCAACAACTAAGAGATCCATTCGAAGAGCATGGGGACTAGTTGAAGTAATGAGCCCTTAATATAATATTGAGGGCTCATTACTTCAATTGAGATAATGAAAAGTCATCCCATGCTCTTCGAATGGATCTCTTAGTTGTTGAGAGGGTTCCCAAAGCAGTATAAGGCATACCCAGTAAAACTTACAAGTAAACCAGATATAGAGATGGCAACTAGGGTTGCTGTTTCCATTATAATTCTAAAAATTCTTAGAATTCCAAAATTTCAAGACACAATGGATCTATAGGATATAGATCCTATATTTACAGCGGAATGGTATACAAAGTCAACAGATCTCAATCAATATAAAATAGGATTTATGGCTACACAAACTGTTGAGGGTAATTCTAAGTCTAGTCCAAGACGAACTATTGTAGGGGATTTATTAAAACCATTAAATTCAGAATATGGTAAAGTAGCTCCGGGGTGGGGAACTACTCCTTTGATGGGTGTTGCAATGGCTCTATTTGCGATATTTCTATCTATTATTTTGGAGATTTATAATTCGTCCATTTTACTGGACGGAATTTCTATGAATTAGATTCACAAGAATCAAGTAACTAGCTTTTCAATAGAAAACTAAGGTTAAGCATTTAGGTTTTTTATCGTTAGCCTATTTCTTTTGATTTGGTGTATTGATCGTGAAACTTCTTTGTTTCTGTATTTCCGGAATATGAGTGTGTGACTTGTTATAATGGATCTTTATTGATAGTACAGAACAATAAAAAAATGGATCTGTCATCTTGATAGAGATGATTTTACCCCGTCAGATATTTATTCTAGTATCTGGAAGTACGGAATATAGAAAATCAAAAATATTCTTAAAATATTAGAACTATGATTCATACTAAATATTTAGACCTCGTAACTGGATTTAAAAAACTTTCTCAAAGAGTTGAAAGAATAAATTGAAAAATGAAAATTATTTAAAACTTCCGTCGATTATCTTTATTTTGATCAACGGACAAATGTTTCTTTGTTCTATCTATTCATTGAATAAGTGATGATCCAGCAGTTCTTACTCAGGGAATTTTGGACTTCGATTAAAGGTTTTTTTGAATCATCGTGGTCATGATACGAATCTGATGTTTTTTTTAATTGATTCATATGGTCCTAACAAGAAATTCCTATCAATAATAATAATTAAGAAACAGCAGTAAAAAAAGAACATTACACACAAATAAAAAATGAAGATAAATATAGAATATTCAAGAGGCCTACTGTAAATAAAGACGAGTGAGCCGACTTGATATTTTGGCATTATAACCACAAAGAATAGTTTTCGGATTTTATTTTTCTTATCTTCCGAAAAGATTGGAATCATAGGATTCCGTTAAGAAAGTTTCAAGCTTCTATTACACATATCTGTTTTCATTACAACCAGTATTTGGGTATTTTGTTTGAGCCGTACGAGATGAAAATTCTCAATATACGGTTCTCGGGGGGACTCCTTAGTTACCTATCTCAATAAAGTCTATGATTGGTTCGAAGAACGTCTTGAGAATTCAGGCGATTGTCGATGATATAACCAGTAAATACTTCCTCCCCATGTAAACATATTTATGTTAGGAAGAATTACACTTACTTGTTTTAGTCCAAAGTAGCGACGGAATTTGCTATGACTTTTTATTATCGTACCGACTGTTACTGAAGCTTTGCTTCTGTTCAATATATAATACGGAGGCTAACTTTGGTTGGTTTAATCCGACCAGTTCATCGATGGTCGGCAAGTATGATGTCTTAAGAATGATTCTGCACGTATTTCGCGTGTATCTCACAGGTGGCTTTAAAAAAACCTCGCGAATTAACTTGGGTTACGGTGTAGTTTTGGCTGTAATTGACCGCATCTTTTGTGTAACTGAGTATTCCTTACCTTGGGATCAAAATTGGATTATTGGGCAGTCAAAATTGTAACAGGGTGCCCGAAGCTATTCCTGTAATAGGAATCCTCTTTGGTAGAGTTATTACGCGGAAGTTCTAAGTGTGGGACAATCACCACTTGACTTCGTTTTTATAGTTTGCATACTTTGTATAACCTCTTCTTACTGCCATATTTATGTTAATGCACTTTCCAATGATACGTAAGCAAGCATTTGCTTCCTTATATAGTAAATATGAAATCATAGATATTTGTAATTAATCATTCTTATTTGGGGGAGGAATATATTCATTGCTAAAATAGGATTATTAAAAGAATAAGACATGTATTGGATATTTTCCTTCAATTTAACCAAAATTGGATTATTATTATTTACATACACGAATAGTGAAGGGAATTCTACGAAGAAGAAATGGATATGGATGTTGACTTGAACATTGATTGGCACGCAGATATTGATTTTCTCTTATCTGCACATTTGAATTTACAATTCAATGTGTCTTTATTCCAACTACCACGCAAGGTCCGGCCCTACAGAGGATAGGCTGGTTTCACTTGTAAAGAATCTTTTCTATGATCAGACTCGATCATATCCTGCATGAACAGGCTCCGTAACATCCAGTAAAAAAAGTGATGTGGGATAATCTGAATTATATTTTCTCTATTTCACTGAACTTAATAGTATGGAAATGCATTCATTTCCTATGCATTGACTCGATTTATGATACTATCGGAGTAAACCAAGTGGATCTAAAGAAGAACAGGGGTTAGATTATATTAGTAACAAGTAAATCCTTTGTACGTAAAAAGTTCCAAGATTTTTTTTTTGGGGGGGGGGTAAGAATTGCAAGGTTTGAGATCACCCAAAAAGCACTATTCACTTTGAAAGCCTACTTGGGTATTGAGCGTTTACTTAAGTTTACTTAATAATAAAAGAACTTAATTTTTTTTTTTTGCAGATAAGATAATTGTAACTTCGGAGAAGAAAATAAGGTTTATTTTCTTACATGGAATCTTTCTATATGTGTGGATAACATATGCATTTTTTCTATGGATACATTCGAAATGTTTGATTCGTGCTCGAGCCGGATGATGAAAAATTATCATGTCCGGTTCTTTCGGAGGATGGATCTATAAGAATTCACCTATCCTAATAACAAAAAAACCTGACTTGAATGATCCTGTATTAAGAGCTAAATTGGCTAAAGGAATGGGTCATAATTATTATGGAGAACCTGCATGGCCCAATGATCTTTTATATATTTTTCCAGTAGTAATTCTGGGTACTATTGCCTGTAACGTAGGATTAGCGGTTCTAGAACCATCAATGATTGGAGAACCCGCGGATCCATTTGCAACTCCTTTGGAAATACTACCCGAATGGTATTTCTTTCCCGTATTTCAAATACTTCGTACAGTGCCCAATAAGTTATTAGGCGTTCTTTTAATGGTTTCGGTACCTATGGGATTATTAACAGTACCCTTTTTGGAAAATGTTAATAAATTCCAAAACCCATTTCGCCGTCCAGTAGCAACAACCATCTTTTTAATTGGTACCATAGTAGCCCTTTGGTTGGGTATTGGAGCAACATTACTATTGAGAAATCTCTAATTTTAGGTCTTTTTTAAACTTTTTAATTAAATGGATTCAATTGTGAAATAAAATATCATGCCATGTATATTGTGTATCTAGGGAGAATTCATTTTGAACGACTAATCCCTAGATACATCTTTTGGCCTATTCCGAGTATATGGATTTATTCTAAGGATTCAAATTACACATTTTCACCTTTATTTTTATAAATAATAAAAATATGAAAAAAAAAAACCAATGCCAATGGATTTCAAATTTATGCGAAATGCTTTTCTATTTCTAAAATGTCTAATATATGTTTTACATCTTCTACACGAAAATGTTCATTTCCATAAGGTCTTCTTGACTATTATTCAAAAGTTCTAATAATGTATGAATATTGGATCTTTTGAGACAATTATAGATCTTGGGAGGCAATTCTAATTGGTCAATAAAAATGGATTTCAATGCTATTCTTTTTTATTTTCCTCAGTTTATCCTTAGCCAATATATCATGAAAAGTAAAAAGGGGTAAAGTAACCTTGTGTTGATTTTTTTCTAAATGAAAGGGATCTTCTTCTGCATGTAAAAAGGGAATAAATAAATCAATCAAATTCCGAGAGGCTTCATAAAGCGCTCTTTGGAGTTAAACTCCCATTTGTCCATATTTCGAGAAGAGTATCTCTTGTTTTTTTTTCCCATTCCCATAGGAATGAATACTATGATTTACATTTCGAACAGCATGAATACAGCATTATGGGAACTTCCGTCTTGAAAGTTTTTTAGTGTTTTTATACGATATCCGCGATTCCTCTCAATTTTTTAATCCAATACAAATTAATAGGTTCTGTTAGGTTGGCTATATGTTGTGTATTATCAATGATTTCCACAGAAGTGGTAAATGATGTCTTGAGCAGTTATATATCCAGGACCTTTGAAACAAATAGATGCGTCTTGAGTTCCATACAGATTTAATTTCATATTAATATTGGATGATCTAAATGAAATATATTGGATGATCTAAATGAAATAATGAAAAAAAAATAGAAAAACGAGCATGTTGATTATATTGAAAATAAGGAGCAACAATCATTTTCGTTTATCATGAGTAAGGACACCATCGCTGACATAATAACCTATATACGAAATGCTGATATGAATAGAAAAAAAATGGTTCAAATACCATTTACTAACATCACCGAAAACACTGTGAAAATACTTTTACGAGAGGGTTTTGTTGAAAACGTCAGAAAACATAGGGAAAGCGACAAATATTATTTAGTTTTAACTCTACGGTATAGAATAAATAAGAAAGGATCATATAAAAGTTT